GGCGGCTCGGCTGCTGGGCGGCTCGGCGACTCGGTTGCTGGGCGGCTCGGCGGCTCGGCTGCTCGGCGGCTCGGCGGCTCGGCTGTTGGGCGGCTTGGCTGCTGGGCAGCTTGGCGGCTCGGTTGCTCGGCGGCTCGGCGGCTCGGCTGCTGGCCGGCTCGGCGGCTCGGCTGTTGGGCGGCTCAGCTGCTGGGTGGTTCAGCGGTGAAGGGGCCGGTAGAGGCGACGACGGGGCCGGTAGAGGCGGCGATGGGGCCGCTAGGGGCGGCGACGGGGCCGCTAAGGGAAGCGAGGTGGCTGCGAAGGGGTGGCGACGGGGCCGCTAGGGGCGGCGACGGGGCCGCAGAGGGGCCGCAAGGGGCCTAGAGGGGCGGCGACGAGGCCGCGAAGGGGCCGTAAGGAGCCTAGAGGGGGCGGCGACGGGGCCGCAAGAGGTGGCGACGGGGCCGCGAAGGGGCCGCGAGGGGCCTAGAGGGGCGGCGACGGGGCCGCTAGGGGCGGCGACGGGGCCGTGAAGGGGCCGCGAGGGGCCTATAGGGGCGATGACGGGGCCTAGAGCGGCGGTGACGGGGCCGCGAGGGGCCTAGAGCGGCGGCGACGGGGCCTAGAGCGGCGGCGACGGGGCCGTGAAGGGGCCGCAAAGGGCCTAGAGTGGCGGCGACGGGGCCTAGAGCGGCGGCGACGGGGCCGTGAAGGGGCCGCGAGGGGCCTAGAGCGGCGGCGACGGGGCCTAGAGCGGCGGCGACGGGGCCTAGAGCGGCGGCGACGGGGCCTAGAGCGGTGGCGACGGGGCCGTGAAGGGGCCACGAGGGGCCAAGAGGGGCGGCGACATTGTCGCTAAAGACGACGACGGGGCCGCTAAGGGTGGCGCGAGGGGCCTTTAGGAGGGAGCGACGTGAGGGCGGCCTACGGGGCACGCCTCGGGCAGGAAAAAAAGATCGAGTTAGGTGGTGGGCCCTGAGAAGCGCTCCCACGAGGGAACCTGCTCTATACCATGTGAAGAATTAGGAATGAATGAACTAGCACAGGGTTGGGTACAAGTAGGAAACCCTAAGAAACTGTACCCCATAGTGTCTACCCCACTATAGCCTAGACAAGCTATATGATATAAGTTTGACACAACTCCATTCGGGCACTTCGCTAGCACTTCGCGGAGATCGCCTGGGGCCAGATTCAATGACGAGGCAGGTACAGTGGTGCGGTTGGTTACCCAGCTCGGAATTGGTTTTTCCCCGACAGGGTGTTTCGCCTGTAAAGCTGCAAGTGTAGCAGGTGTTGGTTCCGCCAGCGAGGTCACTTGTAACGCAGACATTGCCTTGGAAATGTTGGCCTTCTTTATCAAGCCTTCTGCTCGTCTGGCTTGTGTCGTGACGCGGCTTCAGTATCGGGGATCGCGCATGCCTCACTGTAGAGATCGGCAAGATCCCCGATCCTGAAGTGGTGCAGCCGAGTCTCAATCTTGATCCAGCGGTTCCCGTCCACCGGCTCTGGTAGAGGCCGAAGGGTCAAGCGGGGTAAAAACTGCAGCACCGTCCACGCCCCCACACAGTCTGGTTTCTCGGCCAATCGCAACAGCGGGGCCAGAAGGCACAGGTTGTAGTTCTCCAGAATCTTTTGGGGCAACCGCCTCACCAGGAACGGTTGATCCGCACGCTGGAGTGGTGCGATGTCCCAAGTGCTGGCCAGGTGCCAGAAACACTCATCCTTTGCCAGGTCAGCTGGGGATTTCTCGGATGGATGTGGTGGCACAGCTGGGGCCTGTCCTGCCGTCTCTCGCGCTCTCCTGCGCAGGCCTTAAACCCCGACCGACCGGCACCCAGGGAGTCGCCAGTGTTGCTCGTCCTGCCCCCGACGGCCTGCCCCACACAATTCCCTGGCCTCTCGTCGAGCTCCGTGTTTCACGGTGAGTTGCTTGCTGGGTCGTGGGTGATCCTTCCGTTGGTTGCTGCATCCTGCTTGGCTGCTCGGTTCCTCGATGTGCACGGTCAGCTGCCTCCATGTTACCCCTCCCGCCGGTTCCCATTGCAGGCTGTGGTGCGGATGACAACAAACGCGCTTGCTCTGGTGGCGACTGCCCTTGCCGAAGCCAGCCCAGGAGGGGTCCCGGGAACGTAACATCCGCTCGCGTGGGGATTGCATGAAGCCAGTCCCCCGCGCCTACCCCCTGCAGGCTGATTAACCGGACCACATGCCTGTTGTCCTCCCCAGGCTTATCCATCCGCGTATCGCCCACCAGCTCCGCAGCCCGGTTCAAGTTGATGTGGCGCGACAGTTGCTCCTACAGGCGGCCCCGTCCTCCCCTGCCATCTCTCGGCTATCCTAGCAGCTCGCGTGCTGCATCGGGGAGTCTGGTTTAGCAAGGCCCGAATTGCCTCTCCTCCCCGCCCTGCCACTCCTTCCCCAAATGGTGACACCAGCGTCGCCACCTACAGTAGCTGGTCGTTCGGCGAGGGCGGCATTTGCTGTAGTAGCAACTGTGCTGCCCTTAGTGATGCGAGGTATGCCGCCGGCGCCTCCGACAGCGCTCTATCAGCCCCACACCGCCCAACGCAATGGGTAGTGTTGCCTGCCTCCACACCAGGCTTTGTTCCAGCTCCTTTGAAGATAGGTTGATGTTGGCCGCCCATAGTGCCGTCCACAGCAACCTCTCTCTCCACCCCCGCCATTCTCGGACAGGGAGGATGACCGCCGGCGTTGTGCACGGGAGGTAGCTGATTCTGCGCGAGATGCATCGCGACAAAAGCAGCATCGCGTCTTGTGGGTGCAGCTTGCTGACTAGGCTCAACGGAAGGGCTATCCGCTCCAGCGATGCTCTCAACGTGCGTCTGCAGTACGCTACCGTGCCTATTGGGCTCCCGAGGACCTTCACTCCATCCGCTGCTGATGCCAATCCTTCCGGTAAGTCTGTTGTGTTTCCCGTGGAGCTCCAAGCCGATGACTTAGCGAAATTGCACCGCTGCCCCAGTCCATTGAGGCCCTGGAGGATCATAGTAAAAGCACTTGTCGCTGCCGCCGGCTGCCCAATGACAGTGATGTCATCTGCGTACGCCATCACTGTCACACCCGGGACTGCTACCACCGCCTCCAGCAGGGTCGGTTGTATGGCTGCCGCGAAAAGCATGGGGCCGAGCGGGTCTCCCTGCCTAACGCCGCGGGCGCTGTCGTTGGAGCTGACGGTGAAGCCTCTGTCCAGTAGTAGCTTCGACGGCGTGCCATAAAGAGTCCTTGCGAACGGTAGCAGCGAGCTCAGTCCGGCGGTCCATAGCAGTGTCGACAGGAAACTCCCGCGTTCGACCGAGTTGAAAGCATTTTCAATGTCCGGTCCTTTGCAAGCAGGGTACGGGTCGTGTGTATTATGCACTCCGCTCCCCCCGGTACGGCCGCCCCGTATTGTACTGGCAAGAAATGTGACCGAATCTACCCGGACAGTTTCCGTAGCGCCGCCTTTGCCGTCAGCCTAAGAATCACCTCCCCAATCGCTATCGGCCTCACTCCGCCGTCCGGTTTTCCTAGGGCGATTAGCCCCGACGGTAGCAGCAGCTCTCTTAGCGGCGCGCTCTGGTATGTGCTGAGTAGATTATTGACCACTTGGTGCAGCACAAAGAAGACTTCTCCGTTTGTTAGGGCAGGGTCACGTAGGTGTTCGAAGCAAGTGCCGGACGGGCCTGCTCCTATTCCGTTTGGGCATTTCGCCAAGATGTCGCGGAAAGAATCTGTGCCAATGGCGAGTGCTGTTTTGCCGTAACCCCCCAGCCCTTCAGGTATCGCCACCTCCGCTCGCGGGTGTTTCGCCTGGAGTGTTTCTAGTGCCTGTTGCGACGAATCTGGCAACGGAGTGGTTTGTAACGCTGCCGCAGCTTTCGCCAGGTTGGCCTTCCGGACCAACCCCTCTACCCTTGCGCAGATGCCCTCTGCGTCTGGCTCGAGTCCGCTTGGTTGGGAAATGTCCGGGATGGTGCAGGCTTGGAGGTACAGCGAGACCCAATCCTCATCTCAGAACAGTCGAAGTCTCTTCTCCACTGCGTTGAGGCTGTTTCCTGGCAATTTCTCCGTATTCGCCCTCAATGTAAGCCGTGGTAGGAATTGCAGCACCCTCCAAGCGCCTATGCAGCCCGGGTGCTTCGAGAGTCGCAAGAGGGGGATCGTCAGGCAGTGATTGTATGATTTCAGGATTTCCGGGGGAAGCTTCCTGACCAGGAATGGTTGGGAGCTGGCTCGCAGTGGGTCCAGGTCCCAACTCTCGATCGCCCGCCATTTGTCATTGTCCTCCGCAATGTCCTTTGGAGAGCGCTCCTTGCTGGCAGATTCATTCGACCGCTGAGCTGGTGATTCGCCCACCTGACCCTCCCTGGTAGGATTATTTCCCTCTTGTCCTCGGCGTCCGCCACGTCGATGTCTCCCCTCATTGCCAGCTGGGACGCCATCCTCGGCCTCCACAGACACTTCTTCCGATTCGGCTTCTTCCTCTTCCATATATTCCGACTCTTCTTCTTCTGCCGGGTCATTCATTGGTTCTTCACTCTGCTCCTCTGGCCTCCCGTGCCGCTCCCGCCAATTTCAAGATCTGGCTTTTTCCCGTGCTACGGCTCTCGCTAGCTCACCCACCCGTCCTCCTCTGCCCCGGCCCCTCCCGTGACCCCTCGTGGCCGTGTTTCCCGCCGCGTTTCGCGGCTGCTGGCCTCTCACCCTTTCTTCCGCCTGCTCTCGTAGGACCCTCTATCTACTGGTTTCATTGTTCTGCCTTCCCCACGCTGCTGACAGAGTAGCCGCCCTATGTTCTTCCTGGTTCTACTCGAGTTGGTCCGCTATTCGGAGTTCCTCGTCCTCGGTTCCCTGCTTTTGCCGTCGCGCGTCGGTCTGACCTGCTGGTCCCGCCGTGATGACGAACAAACGCCGCCGTCCCTCCCATTCTGACCGCGAAATGGGCTCTGCCGCTCCCAGCCCGTCGAGGGCCCAGTAAGGGCTGGCGCCAGTCCTGCTCCGAGCCGCTGCTGCGCTGGTCAAGCACGAGGGGGCCGGGACGCCTGCCCGGCGTTGTGAGCCGATATATCGTTCTCCCCGCGGGCGGACTCACCCCCACCTCCGGGCCCGTGGTGGTTCGCTCCGTCGCCGCCGTCCGTCTCGCCCTGCCCCCTCTGTCCAGCGGAAGGTTGTAGGCCCTCTACTTCAACCGCAGCCGCTCTCCTTGCGCCTGGGTGCTCCGCCTGTGCCGTCGCCGGCCGTGTCGCTGTAGTCGTCGAAGCAGCTGTCGTCTGGCGTCGCTGCCCCTCCTCATGCGGCGTCGGCCCTGCTCCCAGCTCCGCCACCCTCCTCACCTCCTCCTCTGGCGCCTCCTCTGTTGTCGTCATCGGCCGGGGCACCCCTCGTGCTCCACCCCCCTTCTCAGCCTCCCTTCGCCTCTCTTCCTTCCGTCGAGCCTCCGCAGCGGCAGCATCCTCTCATTCCATCGGGGCCCGCCCCTGAAGCTCGCTTTCCTCCTCCTCGCGCCCAATCTCCTGAGCTTCCTCCCGATGCTCCTGACCCTGAAGATGACAAGCGGTGGTGGAGTGGTGAGATGTGGGAGTCTCCGCCCCAGCCCGCGACCTTGTGGGGCCGGGAGTGGGACATCCAGTCCGACTTTGTGAAGGACGTCCTTCGCTGGGAGAAGCGCATGGTAGCAGTTCGAGAGAGCATGCCGCACGTGGCGACGGTTCTCGAGTAGTTGCACGCCGGCTTGATGGCGCGAAACCTCGTGCTTCGTGATCCTCAGCCGACGGAGCCCCAGCAGGGTGTTGTTCGCGAAGCGGCGGCACAGGGTCTTTGGCGTCTCCTCCGTTTGCCCCTGGAGTCGGAGTTCCCCGATCTAGACAAGGGCCCTGGCGCGGGGGCTTTCTGGCAGGTCGCCAAGGCTGCCGAGGAGTCTCCCCTAGAGCTAGTGCCCGCGCTCGCTGTTCTCTTGCGCTGGATTCGCCAGCGCTTTTACGTCCTGAACCGCGTGTAGCGCCCCGCTCCCTTTTGGCCTTGGAGTTTGCCTTCTTGTTCCCCATATTAGCCTCCCCTTACTTACCTTGCCCTTGTTCTATGGACCTTATCTAGTGCTGCATCTTGTATCCCTCCTCTTGAGTGTTGTTGTAACTTGCCATCCCCTCACGCGCGGCCGAAGGCCGCGCTGTCGAGCGCCGGCCGCCGAAGCCGCCAGATTTGCAGTGAGAATGAACTCACCACCAAACAATCGAGGATGAGGGTGGGATCCTTGCCCTTATATATCAGGGAACTAGGCTGAAAACATATAGGAACTAGTCTACACTAAGAGACTAGTCTACACTAAGGGACTAGGCTGAAACATCTAAAGACTTAGTAACCAAGGGTCTCTCTCTCTCTCTCTCTCTCTCTCTCTCTCTCTCTCTCTCTCTCTCTCTCTCTCTCTCTCTCTCTCTCTCTCTCTCTCTCTCTCTCAAGCAGTCCTGCATTGATGTATGTATAGGGTACAAGCAAGCAATGGCAATCCTAGCAAGCAGTTGGCCTAGACATGCACTGTCAAGAAACTGCATAGTCCCATGAAGAGCCTATGTCGGGCCGGCTCGCCATGCTTAATTGCCTAGTAGCCACACCTGTCCCTATTGCCACCTCATTGCTGGCCTGCCTGTCCCCCTGCAGGTCACCTCACTCCTTCCCCTATCCTGCCCAGCCGAGACGCGCCCTCCTCGGTTGGGCGGTCCCATATGGGGCTACCTGGCCCTCTACTCACCCACGTCGATTAGCTGGGCCAGGTCATCCTCGAGGACCTGCCAAAGGTCCCCGAGGCTTGGTTCCCGCGGGTCCGCGGCTGCCTGGGGGTGCGCTGCCTCAAGTGCCCTGTTGGACTTGGCCATCAGGGCATTTGCCTGGCAGCGCTGGAGCATCACCGACCAACGCTGCCGGTAATGCGCCGTGAGTCTGGAGGCTACCGCGGTTAGCCTCCCCTGTCTGTGCTTCCTCTTAGCTGCCTGGGTGCCCAGGAGGCGGAAGAACCGTTGGGTGTCCCTTGCAAGGGCCTCGTAAGTCTCCACCACCAGGCCAAACACCCCGACAAACCCTGGGCGTCCCTCGTACAGGCCCCGCTTCACTCGTGCCGCATCCTCTGCCGCCCATCCTGGTGCCTTTACCGCTCTCTTATCGCGCCGCTGCAGGACGGGGTCCGTGACCGTCACGTCACTCACGTAGGTCTCGTTGGACTCCTTGTCGCGGATCACCACGTCTGCTCGCTTTTGGTTGGTTATGGGCGAGAAGGCGGCTGACTCGTACAAGGTGGTGTAGTCCGCTTCCTGAGCCATACGGAGCACCGCGTACGCCAGAGCGTTGTGAGTGTTAGTCCTGTCCCCTCCATCGGCACACCGCAGTAGGTGGTTGGGCAGGCTTCTGTCCCTAATGTCCGACCGCTTCCCCTTGCACGGGCATTTTTCCGTGACTGCTACTGGGAGGCCCAGCCGGAAGCCGAGCGCCACTGCAAACTGTCCGGGGGAGAAGGTGAGGTCCCCCCTTGTGGGAATTGCATGCAGACAGTCTCCCGCCCCCACCCCTTGCAAGCTGATTAGCCGAATCACGTGCCCGTTATCGGCTCCGGGCTTGTCTGCCCGCGTGTCCCCCACAAGCTCGGCCGCCCGGTCCAAGTTGATGTGTTTGGAGAGGATAAGCTGTAGGTGACCCGTCACCTCCCCCTTCTGGTGTTTTGCTTTCAGGATCTCCCTCGCCTGGTCAGGTAGCCGGTTGCGCAAGTCCAGTAGCGTTACCTCCCCTGCCGCTGCCCCCTGGGCCCCTCCCATTGGTGACACCAGGTCCGCCACAAGCTGTAGCGGGTTGTCCGGCGTCAGCGTCATGTGTCTGAGGAGGGTGTTGGCGGCGTGTAGGGATGCCAGGTACGCGGCTGGTGCCTCCGAAAGCGGGTCTATCAGCCCCAGCCCCCCCAGGCAGACCGGTAGCGTGGCATGGCGCCAGACTAGGCTCTGCTCCAGCTCGTCGACAGGTGCGTGCATCTTTGCCGCTTTGAGTGCTGTCCACAGAAGTTCCTCGCTCCAGTCCCTCCATTCCACCAGAGGAAGTGTGTCAGCCGGGGTGGTTCGGAGGAGGTAGGAGATGCGTCTTGACACACACCTCGAGAGGAGGAGGAGTGCGTGCTGTGGGTGCAGTTTGCCGATGAGAGTCAATGGCGACGCCACCGTGCGCAGAGTTGCGCGGAGGGACCTTCTCCCATACTCCCTAGTTCCGATCGGGCTCCCCAGCACCCGGATTCCATCGACCGCCGCCACCAGCCCCTCAGGGAGTACCTCCGCGCATCCTGCTGGGCACCACGCTGAAGACTTCTCCAAGTTGCATCGCAGTCCGCACTTGCGGAGTTCCTCAGTGATGATCTGCACTCCTTTAATCGCCTCCGCCGGCTCGCCGATTATCGTGATGTCGTCCGCGTACGCCAGCACCACCGTGTTGGGACACCTCGCCGCTGCACTCAATAGGGTCGGTTGTATTGCCGCCGCGAAGAGCATTGGCCCCAGTGGGTCGCCTTGACGCACGCCCCGAGTGCTTTCGATGTAGCGTTCGTCGAAGCCCGGGTCCAGCAGGAGACGTGCCGGTTCGCCTTAGAGCGTGCGGACTAGGGGTAATAGCGGTTCGAGAGCTGTCCATTTGAGCGCTGTGAAGAAGCTCCCTCGTTCAACGGAGTTAAATGCGTTTTCGACGTCCAGTTGGATGGCGATGCGGCTCGGTTTTTCCGTCAGTAGTGCTCGGGTAGCGTGGATTATTGTCTCTGCTCCTTCGGGCACCGCCACGCCGAACTGAACCGGGAGAAAAAACTTCCGAATTTCTGGTGAGAGTTTCCGCAGCGCAGCTTTTGCCATTAGCCTAATTATCGCTTCGCCGATGGCGATCGGTCTGACTCCTCCTCCTGGCTTCTCCAGAGCTATTAGCCTCGCCGGTAAGAGTAGATCTCTGAGGGTGTCACGGAGGTGGGAGCTCAGCACTGTGTTGATTACCTGGTGCAGGAGGACGAAGACTTCCCCGTTGAGCAGCGCAGGGTCGCGGAGGTGTTCAAAACACGTGCCTGACGGTCCCGCTCCAATGCCATTCGGGCACTTAGCTAATACTTCACGAAACTCCTCTGCCGTGATTGAGAGTGATGACGTGTTGTATCCGGTAACCCACCCTGGCGTTGCCTCCCCCGCGTGCGGATGTTTAGCACGAAGTGCAGCGAGCGTCGCAGAAGTTTGCTCTGCGAGGGGGGTTGACTGTAAAGCCGCTAAGGCTTTCGCCAGGTTCGCCTTCTGTACTAGGCCTTCCGCCCGTGCGCACATGCCTTCAGGGTCGGCTTGGTGTCTGCTGGGTTGAGGGTTCGGGGGGATGATGCATGCTTCCGAGAAGAGCACTTCCCACTCTTCTTCTTGAAATTGTTGGAGTCTCTTTTCCACACTGGCCCACCGGTTTCTCGGAACGTTCTCAACTTCAGCTCGGAGGGTCAACCTGGGTAGGAATTGCAGGATTCGCCAAGCTCCCGCGCAGCCTGGAACCTTCGTGAGTTGCAGCAGGGGGATCGTCATGCAGTAGGCGTAAACTCCCAGGATTTTGGGGGGCAGCTTCCGGAACAGGAAGGGTTGAGCACTGCAACACATCGGGCCCAGCTCCCACCCTTCCACCTGGCGCCAGATCTCCGGGTCATCAGCAATATCTGCTGGTGATCTTGCCTTGCTGGCAGTCTCGTTGGGTTGGGTGCCGCGTGACTCACCCTCGTTGGCATCAGCTTGGTTTCCTCCACTCCTTGCCCCACGATTTGTCCCTCCCGCCGGGATGCCCTGCTCATCCTCCTATGACACATCCTCTGAGTCCCCTTGTTCTTCTTCCATATAATCCTCATCCCCTTGTTCCTCGTCGTTATTCATTGGAGCTCCACTCTGTCCTCGCTCAGGCCTCCCGTGTCTTTCCCGCCAAGGACCAGATCTGGCCTTCTCTCTTGCCACGGCTGCAGCCAGGCCCCCCCGGCCTGCCCGACCGCTCGCACCCCGTACGCTGCGTCCTCTCCCCGCTGCCGGCGCCTGCCCTCTCGTTCCCGACGGCGGATTTCCTGCCGCCAGCTCCGCCGCCCGTTCTCGCAGCACCCTCTGCCGAGCGGTTCCCCCTCGGCGCCTATCGATCGCGGTCACCTGCTCCTCCTCTACGACTGCCGTCCCGTCCTCCGCCTCTGCCGTCTCCCCTTCAGCTCCGTCGGCTGCTTGTCCCGCGGCGCGTTCCGTTCCTGATGACAGGCCGGCGTCGGCCACCCCGGCGTGATGTGATCGTGGCGGCGGGGCCTCCTGCTGTTCCCATCCAACCAGCGGCCCAGGGCGGGCAGGTGCCAGCCCTGTTCCGAGCCGTCGCGGACTGCCTAACTGCAGGTGTTGGCGTTGCGCCCTCGGCGCCCCCGATGGCGACTGCTCGACCGCGTGAGCCTGTGTACTGGTCTCCCCGCGGGCGCACCCATCCATTCCTTCGCGCGCGCGGGCAATCCTTCCGTCGCCGCCGCCCTCCTCGCCCGCCGTTGTCAGGCCAGGCTCGCCAACGGCCTCAGCTCCATGCTCCCGCCTCTCAGTCGTCCCCGTTGCACCTACCTCCTCCCCCTGTGCAATCCGCCTCGTCGCAGCAGGTTCCACCGGTTGCGCAGGCTCCGGCGCAGTGTGCGCCTCCTGTTCCTCTGTCGCGGCCATCTCTTCCTGATCCAGATCCTGAGGCGCCTCCCCAGTCGCAACCGTCTGACCCTGCCGCTCCATCCTCACGGGGCGATTCTGCTCCTCGATTGGACGAACAGGCGCCTCTCCCGTCTGCGGCACCAGTGCCAGGCTTGCAGCCGCCTCCCCTCCCGCCGTCTCATCAGCCAGCCGTGCCTTCCTTGTCCGTGCCGACCTCTGCTGTGCCGTATGCGAATTCGTACCCCGCACGGCTGGATGTGACGGACTCCGCTCCTCCAGGCCCTCGCGGGCTCCCTTTCCCGGATCCCGCCTACTGCGGCCCTCGGCGCCAGCACCCCCTCGTGCCGGGGTCTCGTCCTCCTGGAGCTCGGTTTGGATTTGTGAGTCCGGGGGTTGATTGGGATGGTTGCTTCTCGTGGCCTCCGGAACAGAACGGGGGGAACTGGGGCTCGAGCGCTCCGCCCCCGAGCCCCCCTTGGGGGGAGCCTTGTTATGGACAGGGGGATTACGAGTCTCGTTGGCGGCATCTTCAGTCGATTGGCCGTTGCGTGACTGAGCTCTCGTTCGTGCTTGACCTCCTGCACGACGCCCTTCTGTCTCGGGAGGTGGTGGCGCGGGATCCGCAGATGAATGAAGACCAGCAGGGTCGTGTGCGGCGGGCAGTGGAGAGCGCGCTGTGGGATGTCCTGCATCTGCCACTTGAGCCCGGGGACCCTTCGCCGGACGACAGACCTGGCGCTGCGGCTTTCCGCATGGTAGCCACGGCTGCTGAGGAGTGCTCGCTTGGCATCGTGCCCGCACTCGCGTGTTTGCTCCGGTGGCTTGGGCGGAGGGTGAGGCGGATGTAGACGTCACCTTGGTTGATGCTTTGTTTGGCTGCTTCTTCTTCCCCATTGGCGGAGACTTACCTTTGTCTAGGCCAGCCTGGCTTAGACTTGCATGCTTGTACTGCTTCGTGTGTAACTGTCGTCTTCCCCTTTTTCCTTGCCACCCCTAACGCGCGGCCGAAGGCCGCGCTGTCGAGCGTCGGCCGCCGAAGGCGGCCGGCGCGAGCCGCTGGGTTGGGGGGGATCCACACCCACCAGAGAATAATGAGTGGAGTGGAGGAACCAGGGGGGGATATATAGGCGGCCATACTGCTTATAGGCTCTTTGCAATGGCTACACTAAGGATACAAGGCTTAAGGAGCACTGAGGCTACGCTAAACTAAGTCTATAGTAGGCTAGGGAGCAGGGAGAGACTAAGGACTGGCCCTGGTGCCTCTCTCTCTCTCTCTCTCTCTCTCTCTCTCTCTCTCTCTCTCTCTCTCTCTCTCTCTCTCTCTCTCTCTCTCTCTCTCTCTCTCTTTCTCATCCTCAGAGCTTCTCTGCCCGCATCAGCTGCGTACTCGTGGTCCAATCCTTTGGTTAGTGCTGCTGCACATGGTTATTGGTGCAGGCAGTCATGGGAGCGTGCCAAGAAATGAATTTCTATATATGTAACTGCCTTTAGCATTCACCTAGTGAAGTGTAGCATGATGTTGGTGGTGCACCCCTTGCATGCTTATATTCTAGTATAACCCTTGACTCTCTTGCAATGACAATCCTCATTTGCCAAATTACTCTCTCAATACTCACCTTTCATAGCTAAACCCTAGGCCTCTAAGGTGTGAGTTATGAGCATATTCTAACACCTTTATCACACTTCAACAAGTGGATTGTGAAATCAATGATTCATCTGGATACAACACAAGGCTATTTATAGTCTCGACACAAGGTGGGAAAACCAGGTGTTACGCGATTGTTCTGAGGGTCGCGAAGCGTCCCGAATAGAACTTTCTCAAACTCGGTAGAAAGCAATTCGGTGGCAGCCGAAAGGCTTGAGTTCAGTACATGTAACCTGGTTCGGTGCTGTAATTAAAAAAGAATATAGGAATGCACCTAGCCTAGGATATTAAGCATATCTTGTGAGAATAATAACGAGGAATGAATGCAACTAGGAAGCAGGTGGGTACAAATCTGAGAACCTAAAAGAGTTGTACCCCATATTGTCAACCCCACTACAGCCTACAATATGGTTCTGACACACCCCCATACGCAAAGTGGGGGACAAGCAAGAGAACAAGACTAGGTCAAGCTCAGGGTGGATCAAAACGTCACCACACATTCTGAGCACAAGTTCAAGGCCACAAGGCCAGTTCACATGCAGGATTATAAATCAAGGTAAACAAGCAAGACAGTGATCGCATCCTAACAAAGGTAAGCATGCACGCGCAGGTATATATAGATCACAGTACAAGCAAAGTCAAGAGGTAAGCAAGTGAGGCCCGGTAGGCACAAGACCTA